TCATTTGTGTAGCTTTGTGCTTAATAATAAACAACAACAACAACAATTTATAATAAAACTTTGAAGAGTAATTATCTCTTGAATTCTCCCATATTCTTGTGTTGGTGTAAAATCTTTCCTTACTAAACAGCACTGAAGAAGATAAAAAAAAGTTAACCTGGTATGTATAAATATATGGTAACTAGGGGTAACGTTTCAGATCTATTACATACTATTACTCCTAGGAACAACAACATGACCGTTCCTGTAGACAGTGTGTTCTTCTAAAAGTGCTGAGTTAAGCACATTATCATCATCATCACCATGTCATATCAGAATGATAAATCTGAAAACAAAAAGCTTCTTCGGCCCGGCATGGCCAGGTGGTTAGGGCGCTTGACTCGCAATCTGAGGGTCGCAGGTTCGAATCCCCGTCCCACCAAACATGTTCGCCCTTTCAGCCGTGGGGGCGTTATAATGTGACGGTCGTTGGTAAAAGAAAAACCCAAGAGTTGGCTGGTGAAAACTAGCTTCCTTCTATCTAACTACTAAGTTAGGGACGGCTAGCGCAGATAGCCCTCGTGTAGCTTTGCGCGAAATTCAACACACCAAACAAAGAGCTTTACAGTAATTGTCAAACTCTCTTGGACATATGAACACACAAAATGCTTACCAATTAAGCCTATTATTTTGAATTTTTATAAAAGCATTTGGATACAAAATACGTCATAGCATATGGAAGACCACGATCTAATTGTTACTTGTAGGGTAATTTGATAAAGTATTTTGTTATTGACCAAGATAGCTGATGTTGAAATGCTCAAATCTACAATTTAGTCCTTCAAAATGTCCAAATATACTATTCTATATTGTGAAAAATTGTAGAATAAAGTGCTTAGAATACAAAAAACCTTGTGAAAAGATTGTTGCTTTACTCAACTGTTTTAATAACGATACAGAATCTAAGTTTGTTTGTTTGTAGTTAAGCACAAAGCTACAGAAAGGGCTATCTGTTCTCTGCCCACCACGTGTATCGAAACCCGGTTTCTAACGTTGTAAGTCCGCAGATATACCGCTGTGCCACTGGGGGGCTTCTTATTTAATATATCAACATTGTTAACAATATCTCAACAACATTGTTCTTTATTCCACAGTCGTTTTTGTTTTCTTTTTGTATTGAGAAACAAATAGAAGTATACATGTGTGATAATCGAACTTAAGTATGTCGCGGGTTCGAGTCCAACATTTTTCACGTACTCAAAAGTCATCTCCTTAGCTATTTACTGCTAGTAAGTCGCTTTTAAGCTGCCACGTACTAAAACCGAAGATTTTTTATGTTTTTTGTATTTAAAAATGTTGGTTCCTATATGAAGATCAAAGTTTTTAAAAAACTTTCAGGACAGGAATCACGGATTTACGTTATTACTGGCACTGATATCTATGGATCCTTCAAAATCAGTATCTAAGTTTCAGCATTGGGGCTCTCTAGCGGGTATCAAATTGGATAGTATTATAGTTTGATTTTCATCTTTAACTCTTTCATATAACTATTGGATACAGCCCCAGAAAGAAATAATAATAAGTAAAATGGGAAAAAAGAAAACTGATATATTTATCTACAATAAATAATGATATATTATTTTAATATTAAGTGAAAGTAACTAAACAAAAATCAAGTATATGAAAAAATACTATAAGCAATCATGACATTTGAAAAAATTGCACAGGTATCATAATGGGGAAAAATATTACATCTAGTCAAAACATTGGACTTACTGATTTTTTTTTCTAAGGCGTAATTTTGAAGACCTTTGTTTTTCACTACCTTTCGTTCATCATTTATCTTCCACAGTTTTTTATTGACATTGTTTCCTTTACACGACCATTCTTTACTGCAGTAGCCTTTTTCTTTTTTTTTTCCTTCAATCTTCCAGGCGCTAAGTATTAGCGTAGTTAAGATAGCCCTAATACAAAACAAAGAAATATAATGTCTCACTAGATAAAATGTAATGAACACTCCTTCAATACTCTAAATGTCTTTGTAACGATTTAACTGGCCACGTTTAGGAAACGTGACGCAGTAAGGGAATGATTATTAATGAATTGCCCTTGATTCACTTCATTCTTTCATGTTAAAAGTAATAATTTGCAGCGATATATCTTGCTAAACTTTCAAGATAAAAACAAACAAATGAAAACGTAAAACAACGATTACACTGAAACCTTCTGGGTTTGCTTAACGATAAACGAGGTACGATTATTCTCAGTTACAGTCTGAACTTCTGAGTTCCCAATGACACATCCTACGGTGTCTACTTTTAATTGTGGTTAAACAAAGCTAATAAACGAGAGACAAATATACTAGAGCATTTCAAAACATAACTTATTTCTTTATTATATCAATATGTATATATATTGCGTTTTAAATTTGGGTATATTTAACTCATTCAATACTGGGTTTTAGAAGTTTAAGATGCTCCAAAATCTGTTGGGTATCTTCGTTGGTTTTCACAAATTTTCTTTCTAGCTTTGAATATATATATATATATAACGTGGATTTGGCGTTGTTACTAAATATTGTTTAAAATTCCAATCTCAATAACGTTTAGAGTGAAGACACCCCAGTGGCACAGCGGTATGTCTGCGGACTTACAATACTAGCATTCAGGTTTCGATACCCGTGGTGAGCAGAGCACAGATAGCCCATTGTGTAGCTTTGTGCTTAATTACAAACAAACAGTTTAGTGTGAAGGCTACATACAATTCATGGGCTTCCTGCTTTTTCTTTGCTTTATTCCTAGGAAATGAATAAAGTTGAGTCCAGTAACTGTATTCTTTGTACACACTACATAAATTGTTACTAGAATTTTTCATGATATAGAGAAGCAGATTTGTGTGAGCTAAACGTGTTATAAATATGTGTGTTTTACGGTCATACTTCCCGCAATATAATAATTACACCATTGTTTGATGTCACACAAATTTTTGAAATTAATTAAACTTGACATTATTAAGTAATTATGAATTTACAGATGGTCTATTCTATTTGATGGTTAATAATTAAGGATAGAGTTATCCGATACCGATCTAACTCAGAGGTAATGAACTCGGTAATGAAAATAATCGTACTTTTGGTGACGAAAAACTTCAACCTTGGAGCAACATGAAATACTTAAATGACCATTACTTATAACTTAAGTGCCTACAGTAATGTAAGTTACCGAAAGTGAATACCGTTAAATAAGATTACCAAACATCATACACGTAAGCCGTAGATCACTATTATAAGAAGTATTGTTACGTTCTTCATGCTCCAGATCTACTGGTAAGGAATGAGTTACACAAAACTGGTCTATTACAATGACATATAACAGGTTCGAAGACTGAGCATACCCTTTCTTTTCTTCTCAAAGTTTACTATTTAGGTGATAAAAAAAAATCGATAAAAACATTAGCATTTGATTTTGTTTTTGTTTTTGTGTAGCTTGTATATAATGACTACTTCTGAAAGTCTTGCAATTTTTATATTTGATATACTGAATTCATACAAAATGCTGGCGAAGTGCCAGTTGGAGATTCTCACGAATATATACGACAAGCTAAAACTGGATGTGGATAATGTGTGATGTATTTTATTTATATGTATTCCAGTGTTGAAACTGGATACAAAAGTCGTGCCAAATTTTGTCACATTAGCATTAGGTTAATAAAGTTTCTCCGGTTGCTCTCGAAAAGAAGCATAAAATTGGTTAATATCTCCTGAAAACAATCTCTAGTGCAGTGAGTTTGTTTTCGTGTCTTGATGTAACTAATTAAATTCGGGGACCGCATCGAATGCTTAATTAGCAATTCAAATAAACAACCAACCTATACTAAACTTCAGCGAACCTATCTAAATTATGCATGTTATTATTTGAAACACTTCGTTGAAAAGGAAAACCCGTCAATTGACCAGATACTGCAATGGCCCAGTAAATGCAATGCACGTGACAGAAAATTATATAGAAGAAAACTCTAGTAATAAACACACAGCTACGGCATTTGTTAGAGCTGCGGCACGACACAAAAACATTATGGAAGGTGATTTTCTCTTGAGTTCCTCGACTTTACTTCAACATAAGAAAGTAGAATGTGTATGTATAAAGTTTTTCATTAAGAGTCATGACTGGCTCAAAATGACACCATGGGCATGTCACAGAGGAATCCGTACAGAAGCCACTTATTTATTGATCGTTTTATGATACGTGATTTGATTTATATTTAGATTACAATGCACGCGAATTACTAATTTAAAGGCTTTTTTTCTTTCTACAATGGTTTATTCTTGTCTGTATAAGCTGGAGTAGTGAACTCATCCTTAAAAGCAAATGAAAAGTTTTTACGACATCTGCTGGAAATAGGAAAAAATGAAAGACATCAGAAATCTTAAAGGGGCAAGTTCCAAGCAAATTTGATGATGAAAAACCAATGTTTAGAAGATAAAGTTTGGAAACGGCTTGAATGGGTAGTGAAATAAACTTTATAACAAATATTCAGCGTTTCGACAAGCTGATGATGATATAGCTTGTCGAAACGTTGTACATTTGTAATAAAGTTTCTTTCACTACCCATTTAAGCTGTCTTCAAACTTTTAGCTGTAAGTGAGGTTACTCTTCAGTAGATAAGGTTGATGAACCATGATTTAACCCTCATCCGCACAAGGGTAAATACAACTCAATCTGCACAAGGGGGTCTCTTTGGACCCCTATTCAAAATTTATCCTGAAGGACACAGTGAATATTTTAATATGTTTTATTGTGTATGGAACATCAATAGAGACTCAATACCAGCTTAAAAAATGTCTTAATGACTAATTCAGGCATAAAATTACCCTTTAAAATAAATAAAATTAGAAAATTATCTTTGTTCGAACTAGCGATACATTATATCCTTATAACATTGTCCTTTATGTTGTTTTTTTAACTTAACTTTGATTTTGCTTACAGTGTAATGAACAGATGAGATGAAAACAACAGACTTGTTCTTATTGGAAACACAGGAGACCAGAGTAAGATTATTATAAAATCCAAACACTGATGAATCAGTTGATCTCTGTTTTGATGGTTGAAAATTCTTAGGAATCTCTGATTTATTTTTCTTGATGGTGCCAACAATGGTCAGGTTATGCTGGAGCATTTCCTTTCCAACGAGTACACTCGTAGAAATAATTGCCCATGGTAACACTCCATCCAGAACCACTATAAGACTGTGTAAGTTGTGTTATCACTTATTCACCAATATTCTTTGTTGCATGTTGGCTTTCTTGTTCACCAAGATAAATGTCTAAGCATTGTCTGACTTGCAGCAAAACTACCATTTGATTCCATACTTTCCAGGTTTTGGTGGCATGTACTGCCTTAAATGACAACAACCACGAAATAACACTAACTGTCAAATTTGCTCCAGGCTTGTATGGCCTCTGTAATGTGCCTTGAAAATGAGTAAGCATATCTCTAAACAGCGTCAATTTGTTGGTACTCCTACGATCAGACCTATTTTGAAAATCATCAAAGTGTAGAAACCTCAAGATATTTTGAAAGCACCCCAATCCCACTGTAATGCTGAATATTGTTTGACCAGAGTACTACATGTTCCACATCTCTCTAATGTCTTCGTTTGCTGAACGCAACACACCTGCATATATAAGTAACCATATCAATGCCTCGAGTTCTATTTCATCTATGTCTTTCCTTTTTTTATCACTATCTTCACAGTTCCATTTTTCATATGCATTATGTGCTTTCCGATTTGTAAATCTTACAATCGTTTATTTCATCTCAGTAATCAGAAACATATTTAGCGTGTCCTGTATGTTTTGTACCTTTTCATCCTCTTTCAGTCCCATTGTCTCCTTACATTGTTTTCTGGTCTTTGCTTGCCAGATGTAACCGGACGTTGACTTGTAGGTGTTTTGCAAAGTACAATTACTATTATTATTGATGGTAACTTCATCTTCATCACTACTTTCGTTGTCCTCAAACTCATTTCCTGCAGTTTCATCACCAGAATCTTTTGCATTGTTCTCAAGATTATCTTTAGTTTCAAATTTAATTTTTTTCTATAAGCATAGCTTAATTATTTTGAACTTCCTCTGAGTCGCTGATATTACCGTCATGATGTTAGAAAAACACGTAGGTTCAAGAAGTATTTATAGTTTGTACTAAAGAAGAAAGGTCCACCTTTCGAAAGCGCTCGGGTTATAGGTTTTTTATTCACTTCACTAATATTACTGTCAGACTCATCACTGTCCGATTCTAGGCCTTCTTCTAGTGTTGCCTTTACTGCCATTTCGACTGTCATTAATCGAGGTCGTTTCGATGCACTCATGATGGGGCTTGGGTCAACGAACAAAGTCACAAAAGGTCATACCTCAAAAAGAAACATAAACGTTAAGTATCACCGATGATATAAGCTGGGAGTCTAAAAAGGCTCCCCTTTATGCGGATAAGGGTTAAAATACAAATATTAATACTGTTTGATTCAATTAATAAATGTTTACGAACAATCGTGAATATTTTTATATTATAAATTTCTATTTTGTAATATAAATAACCTTCGAAGTGTTCAATGTTACAACATAAAAACAAAAGTTTTATGCATAAAGTAATCAAAACAATAACAATAAAATAAGCATCGTCCAAGAAGCATTAAAGTTCCAAATACATTTATATTTATTTTTTAATAATTTCAAGAAATTAAATGTCTTTCTACATGTTTCATAGTCAAACCTAGGACAATATATTTTCATTTGCTGTAGCCATGATTCAATTATTCGACGCTTTTGTAGATGTGAGTTAGGCAAAAACGACCCCTTTCTTGCATGATGAAATATAGACGAAAAAGACCACCCGCCCGAATAGCTCATGTTCTTGCTATTCATGCTACTTTTAGCCACATGCAAGTAATGTTTCGTCTTTTATTACACGCTTTAAGGAATATATACATTGTCATCTATACTTCACCACATTCAAGACAACAGGCAAATTCATCATCAGTCTTGCTTGTTCATCATCTTCAAATAATGTATTACCAGCCCGTATCTTCGCTTATTATTCTAGACATCTGATGGATATTAACGCGTATTATACAATTTATCCTATAGTGCTACCAGTAGAAATCACTCCATGAGGGGAAGCTTAAGCGTTAATATTTCGAAGAAGCCATTCTTCTGTAGGAATGTCAGGTTTAATAACACAGCAGGCAAGATCGCATCATTAAAACATTACCATAATGGACACTTCATCCAGGAAAATTCGGTCAAAGCACTCAGTTAGAAAATGTGTGGTCTCTTTCAAATAGAAATTACAAACTTGAGCGAAAAGTGTTTCGTCTTGTATATTTGAGATCCATCATTCATAATTTAAGCAGAGAGTTTCCATAGCCAGTTCCTACCCATGTATGTAAAAGCAGAAAATTAAAACAACCTTCAAGGATTATATATTATACGAAAAGTTTAATGCCTTCGATGAGCTTATAAATTAATTTGTTTCATAAAAAAAATCAACCAACTGAGTCCAAGTAGAAAAATTAATCTTATCAAAACATAAACCAGATTGACGTTTCTATAAAGTTATCTGACATAATTAATAGTGTCATCTCGAATGTTTTTTTATTCATATGTGGAGAAAATAAATACTCTTTGGTTAAAATGATGGTCACTAAGAGTTATAAAATTTACGAGTCATGAAATGCAGTTTTATTCTCATAACATATACCTTTTTTAGAATTACGTGAGTTGATTTTACAACAGTGGTTTATGGCTTATTATAGTTAGAATTTTACAAATACAGTACTAGTTATCTATTAATAATTGTATAATACAGTGTATTTGTGTAATTAGAAAGCTTTCCTACGTAATTTGGCTCTTCTAGAAAACAGTTATAGCGGTAAAATAATACGTTTCTAGACTACAGCTGTACAGGAAATCTGAAAATAAATTTAAATTGTTAGGGTTAAATACTAATATTGAACATCATTTATGTGGGTTTATCAAAAAATAGTGCCCCCTTCAGTAGCACAGCAGTATGTCTGCGGACTTACAACGCTAAAATCCGTGTTTCGATACCCGTGGCGGGCAGAGTACAGATAGCCCATTGTGTTGCTTTGTGCTTAACTTCAAGCAAAAAATAATTTATTTAGTAATAATCGTTCTCCTAACAAACTTTGCAATTTTTGGTGAATAAAAGTTGTTCATAACTAGTACATAAAATCTACTGAAAGCTCAATCAGCTTTAAGTACACACTCACCTATAAATACATGATTAGAAAAGGTATTTAAAAGCTCATTATACAATGCTAATAATCGTGACGCAATATACACTATTTGCAACAAAGCTATGACTTGTGCATGGAGAAGTGACGTAAACAGCATCTCTTTAGTTTTAAAATGTGATCCAAAGTTTTTGACTCACTGATTTTATAAGCCTTTGCTAATCGTGAGAAAACACAGCGTTTTTTTATACTCAATCGCAATTTCATTCTCATAACATGTAGCTTTTTTTTAGAATTATAAATAAATACAAAAAAAACTGTCATGTTTAAATATCCATACGCACAATATGCAGTACACAAGTATAATCCTCAAGATCTTTCAAATAGAAATATAATTTGAAGACGTTAATATGTTTATCTGTTATGGTTAGGAATAACTTATGGATTCATATTTACGAAAACAAGTATGAAAACTCGCTAATAATTTCTAATAATAATTTCTCGCTAAACAACGCGCTTATATGTCAGTCCAGATACAATTAAGATGGGGTTTCATTTTGAAGCGTTCAGATAATTTTGCAGTTAATTAATGTTCATTCACATCTGCAGTTTCGTGGCACTTTCCATTGAATTTAGTGCTATGTAAGTAGGCTTAATGTGTCAACTCCAACATAATCTGTAAGAGGATTTACATACACTTTCTAATCTCTTTCAGTTCTTTTCTGGAGCATGCAAAGCTGTGGAAACCGAATACATAAATATATATATTCTAAGCCCGCACCTATGGTAGGCGAGCTATAAACATAAACTTATTTTTTTCCTCATTTTAGTAATTTGTAACTGACATTAATACAAAGTTATTGAATAATGATAATCGAAAACGAGCAATATTATTTTAAAATGTAAAGCATCCTAACCCTTCCATGTATGTGTGAATTTTTGCTCTTAAATATTGGCCATGTTATTTTCACTATACCATTAGCAAAAATGGTAGGTATTTGAGAGGTATGTTTGGCCAAACAAATTCAAATTTGATAGTTGTTCAAATATGTATGATACAAATCTTTGTATAGAACGCCCTTTAAATAGCTCAAATCCTGGGTTATTTTGTTTGTCGACACTGTGATGGAAAAAAAGACTCTTCACGCGACGGTTTGTTTACACGAACTTGTCCTGCTCGTCAATAACACCTTGTGATGCCTTATTACAACAGCAAATTCCCTGAGTATTGTATTGAGCATTTTCATAGAAGGATTTTGTTTTATAACAACCAATAAAAATATTGCCCTGAAAGAATTATTGGATACCTGTGAAGAAAACGCGGGATAAAATTAAACAATAGGCTGTGTCATTGTCAACACTTTTGCAAGCCGCTTCTATCTTACAGTAGAACTGTCTAAAGGCCCATAACACTTACACTTCATGATAGGCCTATTAGTCATCAGTAGCTCCCCCCCCCCCATCTTCAATAAAAGCGTTTTGTATTTGCTTTAAAAATTCACCCTGTATGAATAGCTTAAAGACATAGAAAGAATTCATTGTGTTGGTACCACCATCCTCCGCTAAAACTACTTTAAAGCATCGCCCTGGCGGGCACGTTGCAAATGTTTTCCCCTTAGAGCCAGTGTACAGAGCCCTCTGTGCTTCCTCTTCACCGTTTATTATCTTGCCGGCATTTTTACGGTTAAATGAACTAATTAGACTATTGTCAAAACTTTCGCGTTAGAACGAACAAGAAAACGTTTAATTTCAAACGAATAACCTGTATTCTGTGTTTGTACACACCTTGGGTATGTGTTAGTAACTTTAACATTTCGTCCCTTTTAATAAAGAGCTTCTGCGATTAATATGCTAATTTCCTTACAGAAACACATTTTATTCATGAATTCGAGAAAAAAAGTTAGGAATCCATATAAGATGAAAGAACAAATTTCAGTTTGCCTACGTTACGGGAAACAAAAGAGTGTTTCTCTACTTTTGTGCAATTCAGCCCTATTTA